AAGCAATCCTCCTGCCTCAGCCTCCTGTGTAGCTGGGACTACAGACATGTCCATGTCCACCATGCCCAGCTAATTTTTCTTATTTTTTATAGACACAAGGTCTTGCTATGTTGCCCAGGCTGGTCTTGAACTCCTGACCTCAAGTGATCCTCCCTCCTCAGCCTCCCAAGGTGCTGTGATTACAGGCCTGACCCACTAGCCTAGCTATGATGCCCAGCTTCAGTATTGTAAATAACAATAGCTGTCATGCTTTAAGCTTTTGCTACATGTCTAGCAATGAGATAGGCATTTTGCATGCACACATACATACCTGTCTTGTAAGGTGGGTATTATCCTCATTATATAATTGTAAAAACAGGTTTGATTTTGCCTAGTCATGAACTTGTAAAAATTGTTCTCCATTCTAAAACTACAGTTTCTATATTGAGTTAATTAATTAGTGTTCTTTCCTTTGGAGTTCGCCCTTTTGTCAGAGGGCAGACTCCTTTCACTTGGCCTTGGGTAGTTTAATTTGTCTCATTGCATTTAAGAAACTAGGAAGGCCAGGCGTGGTGGCTTACGCCTGTAATCTTAGCACCCTGGGAGGCCGAGGCAGGTGGATCACTCATGGTCAGAAGTTCGAAACCAGCCTGAGCAAGAGCGAGACCCTATCTCTACTAAAAATAGAAAAATTAATTGGCCAACTAAAAAATATATATAGAAAAAAATTAGCCACGCATGGTGGTACATGCCTGTAGTCCCAGCTATTTGGGAGCCTGAGGCAGAAGGATTGCTTGAGCCTAGGAGTCTGAGGTTGTTGTGAGCTAGGCTGACACCATGTTACTCTAGCCAGGGCAACAGAGTGAGACTGTCCAAAAAAAAAAAAAAGAAAGAAAGAAACTGGGAAGAAGCCTGGGAATGGTGACCCTTACCCATAATCCTAACACTTTGGTAGGCAGAGGCTACAGGAGGGTTGCTTGAGGCTGAGATTCAAGACCAGCCTGAACAACAACAACAAAAATTAGCCAGGCATGGTGGCATGTACCTGTAGTTCCAGCAGTGAACTATGATGACACCATTGCACTCTAGCCCAGGTGACAGCAAGACCCTGTCTCAAAAAAAAAAAGTTACCAGTCCTGTCAAGGTAATCTCCCTCCTCTAGGTTCTAGTAACCACTACCTCCCTTGTCTTTTCAGGCCTAAGGCAGTTATTAGCCTCTAGTTACTGACCTATCCCTTGCCCATACCTTTTAAAAATATCCCTTCTGTGGCTGGTCCCTGTGCAGTGGTGTTTACAACTAATTGATCACAATCAGTTACAGATTCCTTTGTTCTTTCTCCACTCCCACTGCTTCTTTTTTCTTTTTTTTTTTTCTAAATTTTTTTTTTTGAGACAGAGTCTCACTTTGTTGCCCAGGTTAAAGTGAGTGCCTTGGCATCAGCCTAGCTCACAGCAACCTCAAACTCCTGGCTCAAGCGATCCTCCTGCCTCAGCCTCCCGAGTAGCTAGGACTACAGGCATGTGCCACCATGCCCAGCTAATTTTTTGTATATATATTTTAGTTGGACAATTAATTTGTTTCTCTTTTTAGTAGAGACGGGGTCTAACTCAGGCTGGTTTTGAACTCCTGACCTTGAGCAATCCGCCTGCCTCAGCCTCACAGATTGCTAGGATTACAGGCGTGAGCCACCAAGCCCAGCCCCCACTGCTTCCCTTAACTAATCCTAAAGTTTAGGACTTAACTAGCCTTTAAAAAAATAAAATAGCCCTTTATTATTTGAGCACTCTCTCCTGTTGGTACCCTGCCCAATATACCTGGTAAATGTAGGTGATTAGATTCATAGGCTTCATGTTTTATCCATGTACTTGAACTTTACTCTTATGCATATAACCTTAAATTCTTATGAATCATAGTTCTGAAGGGTCAACTGTTGGATTCAGAAGCAGAGAGAGTGACTCATACCTGTGTGGTTCCCAAGATGGGATGATGGTGGCATCAAGGAGACATAAACCTGAGAAATAATAATAGCTCAGGCCCCTGTGACTTAGGCCCCAAAGAAACCAAGATGCTGAAAAGCTTTTCAAGCTCTGTGACTGCAGAACCTTCTGTGTTTCAGGTCCCCAAAGCCTAACACAAGCTGATGGACTCTGCCTGCTGGGGCCCTGGTTTCTCCATAACCTCCCAGGATGCCTCTGAGAAATCAGCTTAGGAATCCCTGAGGATGATGACTGTATCCTTCTGTTGGCACATTCTGGCTTTTCTAAAGATAAAGTTTGAGCCAATATTCTGATTTTTTTTTAAACTACCGGCAGATTCCTTTTCTTTTTTCTTTTTAAATTATTCCCACCTGGCAGGAGTACTTTCTTTCTTTCTTTTTTTGAAACAGGGTCTCATCTGTCATCCAGGCAAGAGTATAGTGGCTTCATCATAGCTCACTGCAACCTCAAACTCCTGAGCTCACGCAGTCTTCCTCCTGCCTCAGCCTCCTGAGTAGCTGGGACTATAGGCATGCACCACCAAGCCTGGCTAGTTTTTCTATTTTATTGTAGAGATAGGGTCTCGCTTGTGCTCAGGCTGGTCTCGAACTCCTGGCCTCAAGCTATCCTCCCACCTTGGCCTTCCAAAGTACTGGGATTACAGGTGTGAGCCACTGTGCCTGGCCAGATTCATTAATTCCTCTATTGACAGTGATAATAATTTATTAGAATTCATCCCCTTAATTTATTGTCCACTACTCACTGCCAGGAAGAGGTATTTCTTGAGTACAAATTGATGAACTGCATACTTGGTAGTAGTCTATTTTGGGCAAATAGCCATCCCACAAAGCATTTAATTTAAGCCTACATATTTATATGGTGCTTTACAAATACCTGTTGGCATATGTTCTTTCCATTCCTTACAGAAGAAACTGAAGCTCCAAGAGGTTAATTGAACTTGCCAAGGTCACATACAAAACAAGTGCTGGAGTCCAAGGACTGCTGCTCTCACTGCAACATAGCTCTCAGAGTTTAGACACTCAGTATAGACACTCTTGGCTAGAGAAGTTACCATACTCTTATAAATACCAGTAAATGAACATCGTTTACAATAAAACTACAACCAGGACTTTTACCTCTAAATTGCCTCTGCCAGCAAAGAATTAAAGATTAAATTTCTATTGTCATGTACTTATCTTTTGGATCTATATTTAATCGTGAGGATCATTTACCCCTTTTTGCTTGTGACCATCTTCAAGGCAAGAATTATATTTGTGAGATTTGTCCTTCAGAGGACTGTGATGGGATGCTGCCTTGAAATTTTTCTGTCCTTGCTTTAACATCGTGGTTTGAAGAAAATAATGAAGTGACTGAAAAGAATCTCCACTCCTTCCTTGCTCTTCTCTACTATGTAGGAAACTAGCACTGGCCCCAAAGCATCTTGGTTTAAGTAAGGCCCAACAAAGGAAAAACTGAGGCCTAATGGATCTGCAACCCGGTGAAATAAGCTCCAAACTCTAGAGGTCAACCAAATTTGGCCAAAAAAGCTTAACTGAGGTGAAAGGAATGTTCAGGGGATATTTTACGACCTTGAGAGTAAATCTACAAATGAAGGTTGTAAGGGTGCAAATGGAAACGAGTTGCTCAAATAAGCAGATGGTAAAGTCAATAATAGCCTAAGTGTTGCGTATGGAGGAATGACTATCTCACAAGGTACCATGCTTTCTCCTTCAGAAAGCGTTTTAATGTTACTTAAGCCTCTCAACCCCATTTTTCAGATGAGGAAACGGAAGCTTAGAGCAAAAGTTTTGAACTAGGAACAATCTCAGGGTTCTCACCAAATTGTTCTGAGCAGTTTCCCGCCAAGGCGATTTACATTGCAAACTGGGAGAGGAATTTGTGAAGCTTCCTTAGCTGCAGGGCTTGGCCCTACCCCCAGGCGGAGCCAGTGGGAGAAAGGCCTGGGGCTCGAACTGGGCGGGTACTCCCGCCACGCGCCAGCGAAAACCCTGACTGGTAAATCCCCACAGGAGGCCAACGCCTGCGCTAGGCCTTAAGCGTTCTTAGGGCGAGGGTGGTGGGCGGGGCAGGTGGGCCCGTCTGCCCCTCCCATTGGTTCCCGGGAAACGGACAAGCATCTACAGCCAGCCCTAGCCTGAGTATGAGAGCATCGGCCACACGCTAGCAGATCCCCCGCGCGGGGGTACCGAGTGCGGCTGGGAGGCTCCGCCAGGGAAGGCTGCGCATGCGTGTGAGGAAATACGCGCTCTCGACACCTCCTCCAGCTATCTGAAGGGGAACTGCTCCTTGCTTCTAATAGGGCTGAATCCTTTGCAGGTTTTTTGCAGCCTACCTCTCAAGCGACCAAATTCGTCCAGCCAAATCCTCCTTAGGACAAGATTTCCTGATGTGAAACTTCAATCACTTACGCTGCAGCTTCATTTTATTTCTCAAAAAATTCCTTCCCCCACCCTCCATCCCATAGAATAGGCCATAAAAAAAAAGTCCCTCTTACCTAAATCCAGAAACGAGCTCCGAGTGCCTTTCCCAACCCCACCTAAACTCTCCTGTAGGTCTCCTGGGCCCTGGCTCATCTCAACACCATTTCTTCGCTTGCCTCCTTCAGGAAACCTTTCCTGATTAACCCCTGTGGGACTGCAGCCGCCCCAATTACTCGGGAGAGAGCGCCAGGCCAAGGAGGCCGAGATTCAGGGGCAATAGCGCCCAGAGCTAGAGAGCCTACCGATTCCCGCCCCTCCTCCGCGCCGCGAGTAAAGTCAGGCAGTGGCTCGGGGACACAGCTGTATTGGGAAGCAGAGGCTCCTACACAGTAGGAGGAGGCACGTCCCAGTCCCAAGAGGCCCGAGAACTCTACACAACGCGCGCGTGGCCCCAGCCCCGTCCGTCCGCCATGCGGCCCGCCTGGGGCCCAGTCCGTGGAGGAAGCCCGGAGGGGCGACTTAAGGCAGCTTGGCTGGAAGGGAGGGGGGAGTGGGAGTCTGCCAGTTCCCCCCGAAATGCTGGCTCACTGAGGGGATGAGCTTCTCACCTCCCACTCCTCTCTCTCGAGGGCAGGGGAAAATACAGTCGACAGTCAATAAATAAACCCGAGGCAAGAAGGGACCTCGGGAGACTCTCAGAGTCCAGGAAGACTGGAGGTGCGGTACAAGAGAGGGGGAGGTGATGTGTCCTTGAAGAAGCGTCCATGCTTACGGCCTTTGAGCCCCACTGAGGCCGTGGGGGCAGCTCCCTTCAAAGGTTAAAACGGCTGCCGTTAGGGACAGCCGGATGGGAGGGGGGCCCCACGAGAGGAGCCTTCGCGGACAACTGGGGTTTCTCGATGTCCACCCTCTTCAGGGCGCGGCCCCGGTATCCCTCAGACCGGCCCAGGTATAAGAGGTGCCTCCCGGGACCCCCGGAGTACCTGGAGGGGCCTCCTGAGGGGACTCGAGTGAGCAGGGCAGGGGGCGCACGGTGCGTGGAGAAGGGCAACCTTCGGCTCCCCCCGACCCCTAGCCGGGGAGCTGGCGCGGAGAGAGCGGGTCGGGTGGTGGGAGGCGGGCACTTGCCCTCCGGGGGCACGTCCAGCCTCAGGGGAGGGGCGCATTCCCGGGGAAGAGGGCTGGAACCCGCAAAGAGGGAGGGCGTGGGGGCAGGCTCAGGCGGCAGCGCTCGAGAAGTAAAAGGGGCCGGGGGCTCCGGCCCCTTCCTGGGCTGCTGGGGGCCATGCAGGTAGCGCAGCAGTTCCTCAAGGGTGGTGACTTCCACCGCCTGCCCGGGACAGCCTGGGGGCGGCGGCCTCACCAGCACGCGAGGCGCAGGGCCCCCCGCTGTGTTCCCGCCCCGCGCGCGGCCTGGGCCCTCCTTGGCGTTGTTCCCGTTCTGGTTCCACTCCCAGGGACCCCCGGCGACGCGAAGGTGTTTGACTGGCAGCTCTGGCGTGGACTCCGGGGTGGGCAGGCAGGCCAGCTCCGGCGGGGGTACGCCCTCCGAAGGAGGCAGGAAGGTAGTGTAGAGCTGTGGCGTCAGCGCTGCGTCTCCGTCCTTGGACGGCGGCGGGGGCTCTGGGCCCCCACCGTGTAGCCGGGCCAAACTGCGAAGGGAGAGAGGGCGCGGGAGCCCCGGAGTCTCGATGTCCTTGCCCCGACGTCTGTGGGCGCGGCGACAAGCACAGGAGACCAGGAGGCCAGAGACTGAGGCGCCCAGGGCGAAGGCTGCGGCCACGCAGGCCAGAAGGAGTGGGATGGGCACCGAGCGGGAGGCCGAGGCTGGGGGGAAGTCCCGCACGCCTGAGGAAGAGGAGGAGGCTCAGCCAGGGGCAGGCGGGGTGCGTGGGATGGTGCTGGGCCTGGAGCGTGCCGCAGTTTCCGCAGTTTCCGAGGTCTAACATCGACTCTCCTGCTGCTATTTGGCTTCACTCCCACAGCCTCGACCTTCCTCAGGATTCACCTCCCCTGATCCCTCAACACACAGCCCATTGCACTATGACTTACACACAGGCTAGAGCTTGGGCCTGGGGAGTCCCCATCCCAGTTCTAGACCCTGTAGCCATGCCAAGAGCAAATGCCAAACTGTCAGTGCAGAAGGGGTGGGGCTGGGATCCCCAGCTCTGGGGAGGAAGGGCTCCAAATAGGCGTTAGTGAGCACCAAACACCAAACACAGTGAGGCCCTTAGAATTCTCCAAGAATCAGCAGCCCAACAATCACTCCTATCCCTCCCAGGTATCCCCCTTACCCTGAGTATGAGCTCCAAGAGTGGAAGACTGGGGCCAAGGGTGGGCATCACTTGGGGAACTGGGGGTCCCAGGGGAAGGGCCAGGACCCAGAAGCACTGGTAACAGAGACCAGGTCAGAGCCAGTGAGGTTCCTGATCTCCACCCTTGACACCCATCCAGGGGTCCTTCCTCCCTCCTTTGGAACCCAAGAGTCCAGAACTCCACCCTCTACTTTCCTGTGGGGGTGGAGAAGGGCTCACCATGCAGGACATTCTTTCATTTATTTGTTCAAAAACTATTTTTTAAGTACCCTACTGTGTGCCAAGCACTGAGCTATATGCTGAGTATTTGGAGGATGTTGGCCGTTTTCTGAGGCTCAGGGTGTTCAGGGTGCTGGTCTGCTGCTGCCACAGAGCACAGACTTGGGTGTGTGGGCTATGCAAGGGAAGGTGAAATTGGGACAGGAGAACTCACCATAGGCGGAATCCCCGGGGCCAGACCTACTCCCAGTAGCTCCATCTATGAAGGGAGAGAAAGAGCAAAGCTTCAGGGGGAAGCTTCATGAAGAACTGATGGGGGTGGCTGTGCCACAGAAGGAGAAAAAGACAAAAGCCCACACCTGGGATGTTGTCTGTGGCCAACATGGCCATGTGCAATCTGGCTGCGGCTGCATGCAGCCACCCCTTCACTTTACCTTGGCAGTCACCATGGTCCGTGGATTCCTGCTTCCCAGCCCGATCCATGTCAGTCCTAGAAGGGAAAGGAAGGGGCTTGGTGCAGTTTGACACTTTGTCCCCATCTCCCACCCTGGCCCTCAGTTTTCTCTCTTAGTGGTGAGGAATGTTATCCTCAGGAGATCCAAGAGCCTCTAACTTACCCACCAGGTCCCCTGATATCCACACAGCCTCTGGAGCTATGCCATCCACAGTAAGGGTCCTGAGAAGCCAGACAGCTCCTGGGGAAAACTGAGTCATGTGAGACTGGGACCCACTCCACTCCAGTCACATCCATTCTGCTGCCTCTTCTACTCTCACCCTGGCTTACAGGAAGCTCCCAGCCCAATATTGCTATCCCATCCACCCTAATCTCTACTCTAGACTCTGGTTGCTGCCCACCTTCAACCATCCCCTACATTTCCCTGCCACCTCCAAGACCTGTATTTCTGTGCTCCTGGCCCAGGCAGGCCCTAGCCTTAGGCCCCTCTTACCTCTGACAGGCCCCATGCCGGGCACACCGGCTGAGAGGGAGGTAGACGATACAACCAGAAAAAGCCACAAAGAGCCTGTGACCCTCAGTGTCCAGCTCCAGCCCTATGATCCGTCGTGCTGTTTGTGCTGCCCTTTTCCCACTGCACCTAGGGTGGGGCCATAGGAATCAGAGATGGAGCAGGCAAGGCTACTATTTTCCTAGTGACTTGAAAGTGGGAAGGCGCACAAGTGTCTGAGCACTACCCATAAACCACCAGGCCCTACCACACTGTCCAAGTCTTCTCACCAAGCCTTTCTCTACCCCAAAGCTCCTGCCCCGCAAAGCCAATGTTGGAGTTTCCAACCCATTCCCACATCCCCATCTGCCACCTTCCATCTCATCCCTGCTCTGCAGGGGGCCTGCCCTCCTAGGGCCTCACCGGGAGGGGCTGTAGGCATCAATCTCTTCCAGTAGGATGGGCTCAGGTTCCCCAGATCGCCCACCTGGGGGCAGCACCTTCAGCACTGTACCATCATCGGAGCCAAGGAACATGACTGTACTGTTACTGTGGGGACCAGCCATGCCATCCACAGCTACCTGGGTCAGTAGGGCTCTGAAAGAATAGGCCTCAGGTCAGGGTAACCTGCCTAGTGGAAGCCTGAACATTTCAAGGAGAGCCCAGGTGTTCTGGTACCCATACCTGCACCCTTCCTCCACACCCCAGGGCTCCCTTCTTAACTCTCCTTTCTACTCTCATGGTTCTTCCCCCCACCCATGTGATTTACCTTGTGAGGCTAGAGACAGAGGAGAGTGGCTGAGGGCAGGAGGGTGGTTGTTAGTGGTTTTTTTACACCTCACTGTCATACCTGCTAGTGAGAGTGAGGAGAGGCTGATGGGTGGCAGGTGGCACAGCAGGGTCCAGCAGTGGATGAGCCTTGATGAAGGTGAGGACGTCATCAGGGAGGTCTCGAGAAGATGAGAACAAGGCAGCCCCACCTACTCCTGCACAGGATCCTGGCCTGGTGGGAATGGGATAGGAAGGGCTGCCTTAGGGCAGAGATCCTGGGCTTGGTGCAGCTCTATGCCCTCCGCCCTCTTGCCCCACCACTGCTCCCAAACATGATTGGTAAGCTTCACCTGCCCACACACATACACTCAGGCCACTGCTTCCCTTCCCTGTTGCAGACCTTCAGTCCCACTGCCCACCCATTACAGCTCCCTCCCAGGCCTTGGACATGTTTTGTTTTGTTTTTTTTTGAGACAGAGTCTTACTCTGTTGCCCAAGCTAGAGTGCCATGGCATCAGCCTAGCTCACAGCAACCTTAAACTCCTGGCTTCAAGCAATCCTCCTGCCTCAGCCTCCCGAGTAGCCGACTACAGGTATGCGCCACCATGCCCGGCTAATTTTTAATATATATTTTTAGTTGGCCAATTAATTTCTTTCTATTTTTAGTAGAGACGGGGTCTCACTCTTGCTCAGGCTGGTCTCGAACTCCTGAGCTCAAACAATCCGCCCGCCTCGGCCTCCCAGAGTGCTAGGATTACAGGCATGAGCCACCGCACCCAGCCAGGCCTTGGACATCTTACCCCCTCCTCCCAACCCCTTCTTGGGAACAGACACTGCTTGCTTCTGCCCCCACAAAAGCCGCCCCCATCCTGGGTACCTGGGTGAGGGGACCCTGTCCTCAGACACAGGGGTCCAGGCCCCATCCAGACTCCTCTGCTCCTTGAACTTGCCCTCAAACCCACGCTCAATATCATCCAAGTAGAAGGCACAGACTGCAGAGCCAGGGATGCTGAGGGAGCCAAAAAAAGTAGGATAGATGTTGAAAGGAACCACACAACTCCCAGATAAGAAGGGTGGCTACCCTTCATACACCATGTGAGGAGGTAGGGCAGCCACTGGGTGCCATGCTAGGAGAAAGGAAGGTGGACAGGACAGCAATATGGCTTTGCTTGGAGCTTTCCCCTCACTGTCCCCATCAGTGGGCTTTAAGAGTTTGGATGCTTGTGGGGGACGGGACAGATCAGGTCACACTAGTCACCTGACCAACCTATTGGTCTGGTACCAACCTATTAGTCTGCGTGGTGAAGACCCCAAAGAGAGCAGAGCGGCCATGCAGGTTCACAGGCCCAGTCAAGGCCTGTAAGACGTCAAAATAGAAGGTAGAGTCTCCAGGGACAGAGCAGTTAAGCCGCAGCTTCAGGAAGGACGTCCAGTGGCGGTCCAGGGCCCGAGGTGAGCCACCCATGTCCCGTTTACATACTCGGGCTACACGGGAGAACTGCACCTGGGGGAAGAGAACAGTGAAAGAGAGCCACAGGGCCAGCTGGGTGAAAGCAATGTGGTGAGAGATAAATGTGAAGGTCACAGGAAAAGGAAGGGCATGGTGTGGTAGGTCAACTTGGGTCAAGGGTGAGGGGCACAGCAGGATGTCAGGGCAGAGTGCTGGGGCTGTTCCAAGTTGGGATTGTGTTGTGAAGATGAAGATCAGGAGCTCTCCTCCAACTCAGACAGGCTCCTCAGGATCCAGCAGAACCCTCCAGCTACCCACCCCTGGTGCCCACATCCTTACCCTCCCCAGCCGGGCATCCTCCACAGACACCTCTCGGAAGAAGAAGTAGACATGGTCTCCATGCTCCAAGGCGTGGACAAAGTGTGGCTCTAAGGTGGGAGTGACAGGAGAGCATATGGAAGAGTATCGATATCTGCTCAGAAACTCCTAGCTGCCGACCGCCTCTCCCCACTATACACATGCACACTACCACACCATCTGCCTGCTGCCCGCCACAGTCCTCCCTCTGCACCTCCTCCCCAAGAACAGTCTCCCTCCCCCAGACCTTCCCTGACCTCGGAGCCACTTGGAGTCGTACTTGGCAGAGCGGAGTGGGGGCTGAGACCCAAGGCTTCGGTAAACTACAGCATCACTGGCCTGGAAATCTGCAGCCGTGGCTGAGTACAGACTGCCCTCTGGAGGGATCGGGAGGGTGGGGTCAGAGGAGGGCTAAGGTATTTGTATCTGCCACTTCTTGGGCCTCCCACAGCCCTACCTAGGCCTGGCCCAGCCCCTACATCAACCCTCCACTCAGGGGCAGCCAGAAAAGACCAAGTTGGGAGAGGAGCTAAGGTGGGAGCTCCCTCCAGCCACGTGCCTGCTTCTCACATGCCCATGCACACCTGCAAAGATGGCCACGTTGGACTGGGTGGCGTCAAAGGGGCATCGGGCCTGCCCACTCAGCTCCTCACCCTCCTGCTGCAGCGAAGTTATCTGGGGGCAGAAGGAGCAGGTTCCTGGAACCTCAGGGTCTTGGGAGTCTGACTCCATAGCCCACTCCCTCATGTCCCCTTGCCTCCTTCCCCAACCCCTTCTGGATCCCTGCATTCTGGGCACTCCCATTCCCTGACCCCAGTTCCTGCTCCCTTCCCATCAAACTTATTGCCCATCATGGATTTTCCCCCCAACTCCCATCCTGACCCCCGCCCTCTCCTTTGTACCCCATAACTGCGGCACACAGGACTGAATGAGTTCGTTCCACAGGCAAGGAGCGTCTGGGAGTCCCAGGGAACAAGAACACGAATGTAGTTGTAGCACTCGTCCTAGAGAACCCAAAGTTCTGGGTCAGTGACAGGGTCCTTGGGACTGGGACTAGGGGGTAACAGGAAGGAAGGCTACTCCTCTTAAGCCAGTGAGGAGCAATATGGGATAAAGTCTCAAGTAAGCTATTTGCTAGTCCTGCGGCGTTGGCTAAGTCCTGTGGCTTCTCTGAGCCTTACGTTTCTCTTTTTTGAGGCATGTAAAGAAAACTAAAAATTATCAATTTTCTTTCCTTCTCATTTCCCTCTGTGGCCAAGGATGGGAAAAATGGGAAGGAAATCAGGCATGGTAGAGGACCACTTGGACAGAGCCTGGAGGCAGGGTAATCCTCCTTCCCTCCAAATTCTCATTCTACTGCTCACCGTCAGCTTTCCCCGTACAGCACAGTTCTCCACATCTTGGCTCCTCCATGTTAGATACTGAAGGGAGAAGGAGAAGAAATGGGGCAACCTGGATCCCTCCTCACTATGGCTCCTTTCGGATCCTTCTTCCCACTCACTTGACCCCCATTAGATCTTCCCCAGCCTCCTTTCCATGCCTGCCCCTCCTCTCACACAGCTCCTCACCTTGTTGGGCACCAGCCCCTCTCCTTCTTCTTGGGCTTGCAGATTGAAGGAGAAAACGTGATCCCTGAAGGGGCAGGTAAGGAGGAGTCAGAGTCAAGCCAAGGCACCCCACCTGAGCTCCCATGGTCAGCTGTTCCAGCACAAGAGTGCACACCTCCTGTCCCCTCCCCTCCCCTGTTACTCCATGTCTTGGCATTTGTGCTTTGGGTCCAAGCATGTCCATGTCCCATGGCTTGTGCACCTGCATGTGTCCCCTGCAAGATGCTACAGTGGCCATGCAGGTCCCATGTCTGCCCAGGAGCATGCATGTCTGCCCCACAACTGTGCCATGGTCAGTTTACCGGGCAGCCACTAGCAAGGTCCGGTTCAAGGTCAGGAATCTCTGAAAGTCCAGCCCAAGTTCTGCAGCCACAGCATCATCCTCCAGGCCCCGGAACCAGGATGATGGGGAAGTACCTAGAGGACATAGAGACGGCCAGCCAGGTTACTACATATTTCCCCTCAGAAGAAACACAGCCATGGACAGAGTGGATAAATGATGTTAGAGGTGCCTAAAAGCTATTAATGAAAATATTACCAGTAACACTGAATACTTAATCTGTGCTAAGCACAGTGTTAGCACTTCAGATGTGTTGTCTCATTTTAATTCATTAACCCTATGAGTAATGTACTAACATGGGCTCCATTTTACAGATGAAGAGCCTGAGGTTCAAAGCCATTAAGGAATTTGCATACGTTTATTTAGCTTGGAAATGGCAGGCACCAGGATTCAGATCCAGGGCCCTCTGCCTCTAGAACTGAGCCCAGTCCCTTCTTGGAACTGCCTTAGGGCCAGCAATTTCCTTCCAGCCTACCTTGCACACTGTCCCATTTGGAGCATTTGCTCACTCCATTATCCCCAGCCCTCTCTGCACCCTCCCCTCAGGCTCTGCACAGGCTACCCCAGCCCTCCAACCTTTCTGCCTCCTCTGACTAACTCTAGCTGCTACCTGGCCTGATCATGGCAACTACAATCATCGGTGGCCAGAGGGAGCCCAGAGTTCAGGGATAGGCAACTTAACATTCATAATGTTCTTGGAACTACTCTGGCACGTACAAGTGTTCGCTACTTTTATCTATCCGTCAACAATTACTCCCACTAACCCAATTTTAAAGTTCATCCATCTTTAAAATTACTCTAAACCCTACATATGTAATAGGAACTGCAAATAAATTTTTCTTCTCAGGAAAAGTGGGTTTGTGCTTCCTTCCTTCCTACCTTCCTTCCTTCCTTCCTTCCTTCCTTCCTTCCCTTTCTTCCTTCCTTCCTTCCTTCCTTCCTTCTTTTCTTTCTTTTTTTTTTTTAGACAGAGTCTCACTCTGTTGCCCAGGCTACAGTGCCGTGACGTCAGCCTAGCTCACAGCAACCTCAAACTCCTGGGCTCAAGCGATCCTCCTGCCTCAGCCTCCCAAGTAGCTGGGACTACAGGCATGCACCACCATGCCCAGCTAATTTTTCTATATACTTTTAGTTGGCCAATTAATTTCTTTCTATTTTTAGTAGAGACAAGGTCTCACTCTTGCTCAGGCTGGTCTCGAACTCCTGACCTCAAGCAATCCACCTGCCTCGGCATCCCAGAATGCTAGGATTACAGGCGTGAGCCACCGTGCCTGGCCGGTTTGTGGTTTCTATCATGGTAGGACCTAGGCTTACAGGTGGTAAAAGTGGTAGAGAGGGAGGTAAGAGGTGTTGGGAACCACTGAACTAGTCCCAACCTTCATTTTGTAGCTAAGAATAATAGCAAACATATAAAAAGCATTTACTTTGTGCCAGCAAGTATTGTCAGCACTTTACATGTATTATCTCATGTAATCCCTAAGTTCCCCTAAATCATTCCATAAGATAGAATACTTGCTTTTTTTTATTTTTCAGGTCTATGTTGCCCAGTCTGGAGTGCAGTGGCTATTCACAGGTGTGATTATAGTGCACTGCAGCCTCCGATTCCTGGGCTCAAGCCATCCTTCTGCCTCAGCCTCCCCAGTAGGTGGTACTACAGGAGAGCTCCAGCCCAATTGGCTTAGAATACTATTATTATTATTTTAGAATACTATTATTATCTGCCTTTTGCAGATGAGAAGACCAAGGCAAAGAGAGGTTAAATAACCAAACCAAGGTCATACAGCTACTGAGCAGCTAAGCAGGGATTCAAACCTGTTAAGGTTTGGTCTGGCTGAGAATCTATGTTCTTTTTTTTTTTTTTTTGCCACTCAGGCTGGAATGCAATGGCGCTAATGTAGCTCACAACAACCTTGACCTCCCAGGCTCAATGGATCCTCCCACCTCAGTCTCCCCAGTAGTTGGAACTACAGGGATGTACCACCACACCTGGCTAGTTTTTAAATTTTTTTTTTTTTTTTTTTGAGACAGAGTCTCGCTTTTGTTGCACAGGCTAGAGTGAGTGCCGTGGCGTCAGCCTAGCTCACAGCAACCTCAAACTCCTGGGCTCAAGCAATCCTTCTGCCTCAGCCTCCCGAGTAGCTGGGACTACAGGCATGCGCCACCACGCCCGGCTAATTTCATATATATATATTAGTTGGCCAATTAATTTCTTTTCTATTTATAGTAGAGACGGGGTCTCACTCTTGCTCAGGCTGGTTTCGAACTCCTGACCTTGAGCAATCCGCCCGCCTCGGCCTCCCAGAGTGCTAGGATTACAGGCTTGAGCCACCGCGCCCGGCCTAGTTTTTAAATTTTTTGTGGAGATGGTGTCTCACTATGTTGCCCAGGCTGGTCTTGAACTTCTCCCTCAATCAATCCTCCAGCCTTAGCCACCCAAAGTGCTGGGATTATAGGTATAAACTGCCACACTTGGCCAAGTCCATGTTCTTTTTTTTGAGACAGAGTCTCACTCTGTTGCCTGAGCTAGAGTGCCATGGCATCAGCCTAGCTCACAGCAACCTCAAACTCCTGGGCTCAAGCAATCCTACTGCCTCAGCCTCCAGAACATCTGGGACTACAGGCATGCGCCACTATGCCCAGCTAATTTTTTCTATCTTTGGTAGAGACAGGATCTCACTCTTGCTCAGGCTGGTCTCGAACTCCTGAGCTCAAACAATCCACCCGCCTTGGCCTCCCAAAGTGCTAGGATTACAGACGTGAACCACCGCACCCAGCCCAAGTCCATGTTCTTAAACACCAAATGATGCTGTCTCTAAGTGAATAAACCAAGCCAGGATGAGAAACAACTGATCAGAGGTGTCAGTTCACTCTGTCGGCCCTCCTCTGTTGGTCAGGCTCTTAGCTTCCTTGAAACTGAGAGCCTTCCTGCACCTTGCCTCACGCACATGGGGTCTTGGTCTCTAATTGCCCACAGAGAGGGGGCAAGGTAGGTTCTGGGGCACTCACCTTGCAGGTCAGAGCTCAACAGCGGGAGGGGGTCCTGGGGAAAGGCAGCCCAGGTATGGGGAAGTGAGAGCAGCAGCAACAGTAGCAGCAAGGGCATGAAGTAGGGGGCACGGGGCATCCTGTGTGGGGCAGCTCAGGCCCCAGGGGGTGACCCCTCACCCATATGCTGGCCCTGAAAGGAGACACAGAAAAGTGGGGGAGGGGCCAAGTTCCGCCCACCCCTGATGCAGGCAGGCTCCTCTCCCAGTCTATCCCCAGAAGACCCTGTGGGGCAGGGGAAAGAACCCTCTCTCTGGCACTGCCCCTGTCCCAGCCAGCTGTCATTGTCACTCAAGGCCCTTCCCTCTCCAACTGGCCCAAACTGGCTGGAGTGAGGCCTGTGATCCCAGGTAAGGACAGGACACACCCGCTCCCCCTCCCAGCCTTCTCACTCAGCCTTTCTTCCTCTCTCCTGACTGGGTCTGGGACATTCAGTAGGTGACACCTCCTGGCCCCCCTCTTGCTAACCCCTTCTCAGCTATAATTAGACACTGAAGCCTTAAAATTATAAATAGTGACTCCTTGGCACTGGGAGGAGGAGGAAGAGGGCACCACGTCTGCCTCCCCCTCCCATGCAGACCCCCACAGCACCCTAGGAGCAATGCAGGCACTGTGCCCAGGCAGGGGCAGCTGTGTGGCTGCCACTGTCCTCTCTAGGATTGAGGAAGACAGAGTGGGGGGAGGCAGCCTAGAGGTCACTGTCCTGATCTAAGCTCATGCTTCAGGGGCCCTTCCTGCTGCTAGGGAAGAAGCTGAGTAGGGATGGGGGGAGGGGGCAACTATCTTAGCCAAAAATGAATCTGCATCAAAGCCAGATCAGAGGCTAAATTTAGCTCTGGCTGCAGCTGTTTCCCCCGACCCACTGTGCCCCCTCCCAGCCTCTCCAGCCCCCTGCTCCCTCTCTGGCTCCTATGAACTGGTGTATGTACTTAAAGGGGGGAAGAGCACACCAACCCCCTATGAGGAACCAGGGACAGAAGGAACCAGTGAGGTGAAAAGGCTGAACGTGCCACTCTTTCCCTTCCTTCCCTCATCAGGTTGCCTCTGAAATTGAAATATAAATAATTCAATGACAGGCAGGCAATTGTAACCTAAAGTCCAGGAAAAGATGGATGTGATGGAAGGAATGGTGAGGCAGGCCTCCTTCCCAGCCATCAGCCTCCCCCAGCCAGCTGACCCTCATTGAGATCCACAGTGGGAGGTGGACACCAATCTCTTGCTTTCTCCTAAAATTGAAGTGAGGGGCTGGCTTGGCTCCAGAAATCAGGTCAGGAAGATGAGAATCCTTTCTTTTATGAACAGATAACTGCCCTTCACCAATCCTTAGTTGCCCATCTCACCATGTACCCTAAAAGAGAGACCCTGGGCTTCCAAACCCAGTCCCCTTCCATCTGCCCAGTAATTCCACTCTTGGAGCCAGGACCCAAGTGTCCCCTCACCCTCAATCCAGCGTCACTGGTGGGGAGGCTGACGTCAGGTGGGGTCCCAAGAGAGCTGGAGGAGAGGAAGGGGTAGGAACACCTAATGATGACCCCCTTCCCCAGAGGCAAAGTAGTCAGCTAGCTAACGACCCTCTGGTGTTGAAAGACTGGGCCTTCCTCCCTCCTCCCACCCCGTTTCCGGATGCTGATGCTCCCAGGGGATGAGAAAGGGACAGGGCTTGTCTTCTATCCCCCGCCCCCCTCCACAACCAAGTTGCCCTGAGCAACTGATGTCTTCACCCTGGAAACAACTCTGGTCTCTGGCAAGTGGGGAGAATAGCTAAACCCTCTTCCTGCTTCCTGGCCACGCCTGCTTCCATCCCCTGTCCTCGGGAGGTGCTGCCCGTTCCTTACCTGGGGAGGTGACTTCTGTGGGGGTTTGAGAGGGATAGGAGACCTCTGACCTGATGGAAGACGGGATAAAAGGAAGGAAGAGACTGAGTTACACCTTCCTTACCACATCTCTCAAGAAAATTCAGAAAAAGTCTATTGAGGCTAGGGTAGGGAAGATGATGCTCTGGAAGTGGGGAAACAGGTGACATTTAGTTCAGTTACAAAGGTGCTGGTGGCTTCATGCCCAGAGATGTGGGGGCAGGAGATAGGGATAGCCCCTAGCCAGAAACTCCTGGAACTGCAGGGCCAGCCTTGGCGAAAGGGGTTACTGGGAGAGTTTGTGGGGCATGAAGACCACTCCCATGTTAAAACCCTCAGAATCCAACAGCCTTCCTAGCAAAAGCACCCTAGCTAGGGACAATAGAGGCTGATTTGCATCTCATTTACATGCTCTTCATTTCCAGGCAAAATGCTCTGACAGCAAGCACCCCCAGCCCCTTCCTTCCTTCCAGAGAGAGCAGGCCCTGCCCCCTCGTACCCAATCTCTCTTCACATATCCCCCACTTTAGGCTGGATTCGTTTAGCCTCTAAAAACACTTGGCTGGCCTTTGCATTGACTCCCTAGGCTCAACTATAATACATTTTTAAGAGGGCTTCCCATGTTTGTTTTGGGGAGCAGCATCTGGGCAGCTCTCATCTAACCTCTGGCCTGGAGAAAGGTTTACTCTGTCCTGGAGGAATCCCTTCATACCTCCCCATCTGAAGCAAAAGGGGCAGACCTGGCCGACTCCTTCTCTCCCCTCTGGATTCTCCCCTTGCTGGGAAGAGGAAACAGCCCCTCTCTCTCCTGGCCCTGCAGCCACCTCTGGGGAGTGGCCGGGGTCATAGAGTCTAGCTGAGATGGGGAAGGGATGGAGAAGAGGAGAGCGGACTAGGGACAATAGCAGGAAGCCTTCGGGCTGATCGCCCGCTCCAGTCCACCTTCCTCAGGGGGAGCAGGGGTGCGCCAAGGAGCCTTGCGGAACCGGCGGGTTCTCTTCTCCAAGACAGTTCTCCCACCTTTAGCTCTCAGCCCCAGGCTCAGCACCTACCCTCCCTTCCACTCAACCCCCAGCGAGGATAATCCAGGTGTCTAGAGCCTCGAAAGAGGTGGGCCTGGGGCCAGGGGCTCGACGTGTCTCCCCTTCACTGGATCTGGGGCTCCGAGGAGGGGCGGGTAGCAGAGTCTGGGCCGGGACCGGGTCCCAGAGCCACGTTAGCGGGAGGAGGGGCTGGAGGGGCCTGCAGGCTCAGACGGAGTGGGGATGGGAGCGGGGGTTGGGGAGCAGAGGCGGGTCTCCCAGGCCAGGGAAACAGGGCCAAAGGCCGAGAACCGACGAGGGCGGGCCCGGGGCCGACGCTGAGCGGGGTCCATGGGCTCAGGAGGCGCTAGCCAGCTCGGATCGCCTCCACGGGAGACCTCAGTCTAACAAAGCCCCGGGCCGAGCGGAGTGAAGGAAGGAGATGGGCGCTGGGACCGAGGTTGCCTGGGGGCTTTATTTCCTGACTCTGTGCCAAAGCAACCCCATTGGGGTGGTGCCCAGACTCCCGCTTGCAAAGGGACAGAGGTGCAGCCGTGACACAAAGTCCGGAATGACGAGTCCCCTTCCCATCCCGGTGGGGGCATCGAAAGTGTAGTTCTCCGCGGGTCTCAGAGCCTTAGTTTCCCTTCGGGGGAGGCAAGGGTCCAGGTTTTCCATCCTCAGTGCCGCTCCAAATAATACCCTTTCGTGCTCCCCAACCAAGCGGGACATGACTCGGAGAAAGCCCACTTGAAAAGGTGTCCAGACCCTGCGCCCAGCAGTGCAGTGACGAGGCTCGGACACGGTCCCCCCTCCCTACCTGCACCCCAACTTCGCTGAGCCCCTCCGCCTGCCAGGCATTCAGCGCGCCGACACCCTCATGGGTCCCTCCAGCACTTCAGAAGCTTGCCCCGGGCTTGCCGCGCCCCGGTCCCTCCCCGCCTCCCTGCAGCCCCGTCCCTGCTCGGGGTACTTGCTCGGGGATCCGGGTCAGCGGGATAGAGACCGCAGCGGGCGGCCGGCGGCCACGCGCCTCGCAGAGTTCGCAATCCGTGGTTGGGGCTCAGGCGAGATGTGATACGCGTCCGAATTGGATGGTGCTCGGATTTGGGCTTCGGGCAGCTGTCGGGTCAGGAGAGCCCTAGGTCCAAGTCGCAACCTCGACTCCCGCCGAGGATCCGCGGAGGAAAACAATGCGACCGCCCGGAGCTCTGGGCTCGGCCCCAGCCGCCCCGCCCGCCTCCCAGCCGGACCCACCTCCTGCCCGCCTCTGAGTCGGAGAAGCTAATCCCGCCCTCGGAGGTCGGCGAGACACCGCCTTCTCGTCACCTCTCAGCCAATAGCACTGCCCGGGGGAGGGACGCCGGGAGCACAGTCCACCCAGAGGGCCAGGCCGGGAGGGTGAGCTGAAGACCAGAGACAGGCGCGAGATGGACAGGCCCGCGGACAGCCGCCGACACCCAGACAGAAGAAGAGACACGTACAGAAACAGAGACAAGCTGACAGAGCAGAGGCTCTGGGGAGAAATCTTACAAGAGGAAGGAACAGAAGCTGGCAGAAGAGAGAGACAGGAAACCTGGGGGCCTCGGCTGGGCTGGGCTGGGCTGGGCTGGGCCGTCAGAGCCTGCGCGATCCTTCCTCCCTTCCTTCCTTAAAGGCTTTGGCGACCCTGCTCCCTAGGGAGTCTCCCGCCTCTCCCTAACTCTGCCCCAACACTCCGTTTTTCCTCCTTACGCTTTTTATGTCAACCTACTTATTTCTCTCCATATGCTTCTCAGGTTCATTCTGACCCCAATAATAAGGCCTAGCATGCACTTGGGGGCTTGAGGCCTGGGAAAGGAAAAGAAAGTGTCAGCAGGAGGTTTTCCTTGTCCCTATCATCTCCTCCCCTGCCACCTCTACAGTTAAAGCAGGATGGGCTCGGGCCACTATGCCAGGAACTAAGACGTCAGGAAGCCACGATGATGGGCAGTCCGGGCTGCTGGCTGATGGAAGAGGACAGGTGAGAAGGGCTGAACCCAAAAGAGATGTGGAGACCAAGACTAATGGACTCAGAATCACACAGAAAGAAGAGCAACACAGAGATCCCAAAAAGAGAGAAAGTGACCATCTGCCCTAACCCCAGGTAGTCTTACTGCACCCACAGACACATGTCCCATCTTTCCCCAGTGGACTCTGGATGTCCCTCCAAACAGCAAAACTGATCCTTTTCCATCCTTATCCTTCATCAAGACCCTTTGATTCTGGGAATGTCAGTTAGGAGGAAGAATGAGACCACTTCAGACAGAACTGTTTGGCTTCCACCTTGGTATTGCCTGTTAGGATTCTTCCCTGTGTGGGGCTGGGACAAAAGACATTCTCAAAATTCCCAGGAAAGTGGGTGGCCTGGGAGACATTGGTATTCTCAGATAGTTTTATCTGAGTGAGCACTTCCACCCACATTTTAGTCTCTGGACTAGAGGAAAGGAGGGGCAGGGAATTGCCACTGCTAGGACAGCTTTAACTGGACTGAGATCAAAGTGGGTAGCATCACCAACAAGGCTAAGCCTCACAGTAAGCAAGAAACATAAACACACACACAAACACATATATACACACTGAGACAGACAGACACAGATCTAAGGACAGGTGAACCAGTAAGATAAACAGGATCAGAAACAATGGAACAATAAATACCTACACAAGATTAATTGCTGAGGGATCTTGGGTCCAAGGCAATTCAGCAGACAGACAGTTGGGGTTGTTTTATAGGCTGAAAAGAAGTTTTGGGAGAAAGACACCTCCGAATACACAGGCACTAAGAGGTTAAAAGAAATCTCCCCAGCTCCTAGCACAGGGTTTAGGTACTCAAATATCTGCTTATTGAATAGATTAGTGAGTGGGGATTACAGTATAATTCATTTAAAGTTTTAGGGCCCAGCTCAAAGCTCAATACAATCCAATAAGTATTAAACACTTACTTCAGACACAATCTACTGCACAATCCACTGTGGAATGTGCTCCCAGTCTTTAAGCAAATGACCATCTATTTGAATAAAATAATATTTACACGTACTAAATGATTAAAAAGCAATACTGGCTGGGCGAGGTGGCTCACACCTGTAATCCTAACACTCTGGGAAGCTGAGGTGGGCAGATCATTTGAGCTCAGGAGTTCGAGACCAGCCTGAGCAAGAGCGAGACCCCATCTCTACTAAAAAAAATAGAAAGAAATTAGTTGGACAACTAAAAATATATATATAGAAAAAATTAGTTGGGCATGGTGGTGCATGCCTCTAGTCCCAGCTACTCGGGAGGCTGAGGGAGGAGGATCGCTTGAGCCCAGGAGTTTGAGGTTGCTGTGAGCTAGGCTGATGCCATGGCACTCTAGCCCAAGCAACGGAGTGAGACTGTCTCAAAATAAAAAAAAAAAAAAAGCAATACTAAGTCTCAAAAAAGGCTACTTTGAGCATAAATTCTTAAATGTAAAGAAAAGATAATAAATATTCTCTATGATCACTCTAGAAAAAGATGATGGATACATTTTATCATGGAATACAAGAGAACTTTGGTGTGGGAGTTGGGTTGGTACAAAAGAAAGAAGAAAATGTTCCAAAGAAAGACACAGTTTAAGCAAAAGATTTTACTTGGTGAGCATGGGGCCTGAAACATAGATAGCAAAAGGTTCTATGAGGCTGATTTGTAGGAGTTAGGAATAGGAGACAGGGAAAAGGAAAAAAGAAGACAAATTATGGCAGGCCTGGAATGCAAAGGTAAGTAGGTTGAAATAATCTGATATAAGTAGGATGCCATTTTAAATTCCAGAATAAAGGCATAATTTGTCAGATTTTGTTTTGTTTTTTTATTAGCAATAGACAGACCTGCTAGCAAGAAGACAGGGAGGTCCAAGGATGAGGGGAGAGGGGCAATCAGATAAGGATGATAGGATTGGGTTTAGGGAAAAATGGATGAATCTAAGAGTTATTTCAAAGGACAAATCCAAGTGACTCTTTTTTCTTTCTTTCTTTCTTTTTTTTTTTTTTTGAGACAGAGTCTCACTCAGTTGTTCTGAGTAGAGTGCCATGATGTCAGCCTAGCTCACAGCAACCTTCAACTCCTGGGCTCAAGCAATCCTCCTGCTTTAGCCTCTTAAGTAGCTGGGACTACAGGCGTGCACCACCACACCTAGCTAATTTTTCTATTTTTAGTAGAGACGGTGTCTCACTCTTGCTCATGCTGGTCTCAAACTCCTTGTTTTTTGAGACAGAGTCTCACTTTGTTGTCCAGGCTAGTGTGAGTGCCATGGCGTCAGCCTAGCTCACAGCAACCTCAATCTCCTGGGCTCAAGCAATACTCCTGCCTCAGCCTCCCGAGTAGCTGGGACTACAGGCATGCGCCACCATGCCTGACTAATGTTTTGTGTATACATTTTTAGTTGGTCAATTAATTTCTTTCTATTTTTATAGTAGAGACAGGGTCTCGTTCTTGCTCAGGCTGGTTTCAAACTCCTGACCTCAAGCAATCCGGCTGCCACGGCCTCCCAGAGTGCTAGGATTACAGGTGTGAGCCACCATGCCAGCCTGCCTTTTATTTAGTTTTTAACCCCAGCACTTAGTCATAATGCCTGGCATACAGTAAGTAGAGGAAGAATACCTCGAAGATTAAAACAAAAATAAAAAAGAAAATTAAAGCTGTGAACTATCTTCAGCTATGTCAAGCTGAAGTCCTGCTTGACTGCTTTAAATCACATTAAACTTTCTCTTCCTGAACTGATATGAGTACTGATCCAACTATGGTGAAACCTCAGCTAAACCAAACACAGGACTGTTCCTTTCTGATATTTTTCCAGACAACTGAAGTTATCCAATTAAGTGCAAAACATCTTCATTCTGTTCCAAATGGAGATTATTTTAAAGGTATTATTAATTTCCTGTGAATTATATAGTGGAAACAACACAATTTGGAGTCATTAAGACTTAGCTAGCTCTACCTCTGGAGAATGGCTTTGGATAAACACTTATTCCTATGGCTGAGTCTGTCATCTGGAGTGGACGTTACCTTCTGCTACCTCTCTGGATTGAGTGAGATAATATAGATGAAATGTTCTGTAAACTCAAATGTGTCTCACACATTTAAGATACCATATTTAACTATTTTTTGCTTACTCAGAGGCAGCAATGTGAACTTTTTTTTTAATAGTTTTTTGAGTCAGAGTCTCACTGTGTTGCCTGGGCTAGAGTGCCATGGCATCAGGCTAGCTCACAGCAACCTCAAACTCCTGGCTCAAGCAATCCTTCTGCCTCAGCCTCCCAAGGAGCTGGGACTACAGGCATAGCCACATGCCTGGCTAATTTTTCTATATATTTTTATTGGCCAATTAATTTATTTCTCTTTTTAGTAGAGACAGGGTCTCGCTCTTGCTGCTCAGGCTGGTTTCAAACTCCTGACCTCGAGCGATCCACCCTGCCCACCTCTGCCTCCCAGAGTGCTAGGATTACAGGTGTGAGCCCCACCAGCCTGGCAATGTGAACTAATCATCCAGGAAAATAGTAAGCCAAAGCCTAGGACATATGTAGTTATTACTGTTTGCTCTCCTCTACGTGGACTAAAAGACTGTCATTTTCAATTGTCTGCTTGTATTCCTAGTCTTCTCTTGTTATCTGTTTTAATCTCCTTGTTAGCTTCTTGCTTTTCTTTTCTTTTTTTTTTCAGTGTTCTTGCCTTTAAAACTCCTGTTTCCTATTTTAATTTGCTGCTAATTATATGCTATAGGTTCAGAGATTACTAGAAATGGAATAGATTAGAGATAATAAAAGAGAGACTTCCCATGAGTGAAGTAAATGAACATTATTACGTGTGACTGGCTATGTCACCATTTTCA